ACTATATATTCTCAGTGTATAGGATCTTCTGCATAGATTAAAAAATGTTGTGGGAAAATAGAGGTCTCATTTTGACAGACTGCAATGAGAGCTGGTCACAGAACTCCCAAGTGGATTTATACACTTCAACAAAATGCTCTTTTGGAAGATTGCAGGAGAATTAATCATAATGTATCAAAATTACTTTGGCAAAATTTGATGTTATATAGCAAGATTTTTTAAAAAACAGTATTTTCCATCAGTATATTTTTGAAACAACCATATTTGTGTACCCATCTCTTAGCCCCTGGTGTTGTAAGAAGCAGAAGAATGATTTTTAGGGTGATGGAAAGCAATCTTCTTTAATTCCTGCTCCCTAAACAGGCCCAAGAAGGTGTGAAAAAGGAGATGCAGAGGTGATTCTAGTATTATGTTCTTATTACTATGATAATAACATTCAAAAACAGCTGAAACTATAGCTGAGGAGCCACTGACTTTGAGAATTAAGTTAATACTGTCTATGAACTACAATAAAATCCTCATCCCCCACCAACTGAATGAACCCCCTCTTGGCCAAGGACCCTAGAGACCTGAAAACGGATTTCCCAGCCTTGATAGGATGGGAGGTCAGACACACCTTATTACACCCCCTCCTTCGCTAGCTACCAGCTATCAGGCTTTCTTCCCTAAGTGCTAACAGAAACCAATCTCATGATGGCTCCTCCTTTTTGTGGCTTCAGTATGACAGCTGAGCATCATTCCTTCCTGATGAGAGAGCACTGACCATGATGCTGTGCAGAGAGGATTTTCATGTCCTCCGCTTCACCCTTTGACATCAGAGAGCCAAAAACTACACCCTGGGATCATGCTAAAGCCAGCATTTTCTGAACATGGATCCCACGAAGGGGCATGGAAATCAATTGTTCATGTGCATATTTCTCCTTTCATAAATATTCATGACTCTTCCTATAGCTTGTTAAATATGTATATTCGGCCACCCTGCTCTGCATAAATTGCTGTTCCCTTTGTCCCACCCTTAGTACATGCTAAGCTGGAGGCTATGCTTCACAGCCTGTCAGACGGCCACCCTGCAGGCTGCAACCCTTCATGAGACATAAAGCTCTTCTTTCCAGATGTATGAACCTCGTCATTCTTCAGTTGACGTGTCCCAGCATCTCATTCCCTGGCCTAAGCAAAGCTTAGTGCCCCACTCCCCTATCCCAGGATTATTTCCTCTGTGGCTGTTTCTGGGGCTAGCTGGGCTCCTACTCACATTCAATTTTCAATCCCTCTATTTTCTCAGCACCAACTTTCTGTGAAACAGAGCCCCCTTTACTGGATTTTCCCCAAATCCACCCCCACAAAGGGTATGGGGGCACGGCAGAGTATTCTGAAGGCTAAGGGCCTTCCAGTTGGTCTTTTGATATCTCTGTGTCCTCAGTGCTTTGGATACAGGGCATTTCTCATAGTTTTTCTCCTCAGTCCCCAGTCCTCAGTCCTCAATCCCCTGCCTGAGAACTTGGCCAGCTCTTCCCATCTACTCCCCAGAGCACAGCCAAGTTCTGCCTGTCATTTATTCTACAGAGGTCATTAGGTCTCTGCATGGACGCTTCATGGGCTCATTCCATACCATTCCCAAGCTCATCAAAGTAATTTGCTAAATAAGACTTTTATATTCCTACAAACAACTCCAGGGCCAACAGTCAAAACAATAATTACATACACACATACACACACACACACACACACACACACACACACACAGTTTTCCTTCTCCTCTTAGCAGTTGTTTTCTCTACTGAGTGCCTTGGTTTCAGCCACTTTTCAGCTGTTCATGGAGAAGAGGAGTAGGCCATTGACCCTCACTAACCACCACTTGTTCCCCTGGGCCTAAATTCTGATGTTTGTTTCGGGTCCTGATGTCTGGTGGAGAAAACATCTGGTGTATTTTATGCGTGTGTCGTGAGGACCACATGGACAGTCTAGATGCATATTTTCTGTGATTTTTCAGTGCCCAGGTGAGGTGTTTTTTATGTTTCTTAAAAGTTTGGGATTTGAAGGCTGTTGTTTCAGGGACTGCTTACTTGCCTTAGAAAAAAGTTCACTGTTCTCAACAGCACTGCCATGTCACAGGTCCCTTCTATAAAATGATTGCTCCTCTCTCCCACCCAGCCTATGCCAGTGATTCCAGGGATCTGCCCAGACCTGCCCTGCAGGATCCACTGGCATCATCTTGTGTCTGCCCTGTTTTCTACTCCTGGGCATTTGCCTCAGGCCCGGGGTTTGCCGATGTCGTGTTCATTGAAATACTTGATCTGTGTGTCTCCAGGCCCCCTTACCTACACCTTCAGCAGCCCTTTCTCTCCACTCATGGACTAACTTCACACTTGACTAAAAATCAAGCTGGACATTCCCTTTTGTCACTCCCACCCACCTTGGCATCTCTGATTCTGAGACTCTAGCTGGGGAAGAACAGGCCCAGCACCACCTGAGAGTGCTGCGCCTCCAAGTAATGCAAGTAATCGCTGATGCCTTACCCCCAAGGTCAGAAGAACGTGGCCTTCTATAGGAATGATTTATTTTATGCAGTAAAATATGGCAATTAAATGTGTTGAGGTGAATAACAGCTTTTTCTACTAAATTATACCTTTCCATGAAAGTGTGACAATTAAAGTGCTAAGCATAAGCATTTTGTTAATCAGTAATTCTTGTTTAAAATTAGGTAGTTTAAAATAGTCAAACCTGGCTGTGCATAACAATTATATGTAAAACTTGTAGTTAGTAGATAGCTATTGAATATCTTCTGTGGCCCAAAGGCTGTTCTATACACAGGGATTAGATCAATTTTCATGGTCCCTACCCATTGGGCAGAGACAAGAAGCATATGCTTAAACAATAAATAAGCAAACAAATGAATAGATAAAAATATTCCTCTGAACAAGAAAAATTAGGTGATGTAGTAGTAGAGAGAGT